GAGAGCAGGGAGGTGGCCTGTGGTTGGCACCCCATTGTCTGGGGCAGGGAAAACCAGTACCAGTTACAGTGCGGTCAACTTAAATGCATGGTGACCCCATATGTGTCCGAGTAGAACTGCACTCCATAGAGTTTTCAAGTGCTGAGTTTTGGGAAGTTAATCATCAGGTCTTTCTTCTGAAGTGCCTTGAAGTAGACTCAAACCCTCAGCCACTACCCAGGGCTCCTGGAACAGAGGAGGGTTGCCCTAACAGGAGACAGCGTCTGCAGCTCTATTCTACCACCACCACCATCCCAGATGGCCCCGCTTCTCCTCCACCTCCTTCCCCATCCCTTCTACTCAGAACCACCTTGTCCCTGGCTTGGGCACTCAGCCTGGGCCTTGCCCCACTCTGTTTAGCATGACCATACCCCCCAGACTTGTTTATGGCTTCCTTCAGACCAGCCCCTGTCCTGTCTTGAGTTGTTTCTCATCTTCTAAAGAGCACCCAGACTCAGCCCTTCTTCCCACCCAAGGAAATGATTGGTCCGCAGATCAGCCCCTTAGTCTGTACCTCAGTCACTGTTACGGGTTGAATCGTGTTCCAAAAAAGAAAATCCATTATGAAGGGTGACCACATCAGATTACAAACTGGAAGATGACTATATCATTACATAACTGCCATCCACTGAGAATCATGTCCCACCCACATTGACACATAACCTTACCTGTCATAGCCAGTGGTATTCTCTCCTAGCACCTGGGCATTTAATACTGCCAAATGTATATCGTTAATGAGCAAAATAGTCAAAAGATTTTTAACTGTTGTCGTAAATGCAAAATGTTGGTAAGTGAGGAGAAGGATTAGAGATTTTGGACATGTGATCAGTTAAGTTAGCGTGAAGTCATAGTGTAATTGGAGGTGGTTGTGTGCCACTGTATCGGTTCCGACTCATAGTTACCCTGTATAGGGTTTCCAAGGCTGTAAATCATTACAGGAGCAGAAAGCCTCCTCTTTTCTCCCTCGGAGTAACTGGTAGGTTCAATGGTACAGTAGGGTGGGTCCTAATCCAGTACAAGTGCTGTCCTTAAAAAAGAGGAGACAGAGATAAGCACAGAGATACAAGGCAAGATGGCCATGTGAAGACAGAGGCAGAGATTGGAGTGATGCAAATACAAGCTAAAGATCACCTGAGACCACCAGACGCTGAATGAGACAAGGAAAGATTTCTTCCCTAGAACCTTCAGAGACACCCTGATTTTGGGCTTCTGGTCTCTAGAACTGTGAGGCAATAAACTTCTGTTATTTTGAACCCCCCAGTTTGTGGTACTTCATTATGGAATCCATGAGAAACTACAGCAGTTGCTTTGCAAAGAAAATTAGCCAGGCCTTGAGCTGTGGGGTCAGATGAGCCTGGGAAACAGCATTCTTTTAGAGATCTTCAAGGCAGAGTGAAGGCTTAGACAGGTCCTGCAGGAAGGAAACCCAGTTGACATGGTTTAGCTCAGTGTTTCTGATACTTATTTCACTTACTGAACCCTGCTAACACCCTACAGAACGGTGTTCTGTGGAACCCTACTTTCAGAGTATAGTATGTGGCGTGGGAACTAAGGGCATACCTCATCCCTCAGGGGTTAACAGCCTGGGGCCCACCAGCCCAGAGCACTAGGATCAGCGATGAGAATCATGTCATGAGTCAGGAGGCATGTCTGGCTGCTTCATCTCCTCCAAAGCTCCTTCTCAGTGACTCCCAGTGACCATCTATCACTTAAGAGCCTCTCTCTCGTTTGTCCTCTCTAGAGTCAGCCATTTACCCAGACAGATAATTTAGGGGCCTGGCTGCCCAGGTGAGCCCAGAGCCACCTAGACACACCAAGGTTACGCCCCTACACCCTCTGTGTGGAAATGGCGGCACATGGCCTTTCTATGTCATCAGTGGGTTCTGTCGGCCTCAGATCCAATCTGGGTTTGGGTTTCCTGGGCATTGGAGATGATTTGCCTCCAGCCCAACCTGGGCATTCCCATGAGTGCTGTTCATGCAGCACACACACACACAAACACACACACACACCCGTGTTTTAGAAGCTGCAACCCTCATTCACCTTTTTAAAACTTGGAGCCTTGAGAGCCAAGAGCTCTGTGATTACAAGCAGATAGAAGAACAAAGGATGCATTTGAATTGTGGTGTTGGTAAAGAATGTTGTCTATACCATGCACTGCCAGAAAAATTCACAAAACCACCCTCAAATAAATACAAATGGAATGTTCCTTAGAAGTGAGGAGAGTAAAACTTCAGCTCAGGAAAGAACAATTTCTTTAAAAGGACATCATGGTTGGCAAAGTAGAGGGTCGGAAAAAATGAGGGAATCGCTCCCTGAGATTGAGTTGACACAGTATCTTCGATTATGGGCTCAAACTCAGCGACAACCATGAAGGCAGCCCAGGTCCAAGTAGTGTGTTGTGCTGTTGTGCGTGGGGTCGCCATGAGTCAGAGACAACTTGACAACAACTGACAACAGCAACATCATGGGGACACTGGTTTTCTTTTGGCAATAGGGCTCTTCACACACCTGAAAGAGGCCTTGGGGACAAAACTGCCTTTACATGACCCACCCGAGGGTGATAGCAGCCCAAAGGGGCAGCCAAGTTCTGGCCATCCAAGAACTTTTGGGGATGACTGTCAATGCCAAGTTTCCCCTAGAGGATTGCAGTCAAGGGATCATCTGGCATCTTTCTACAGCATATGCTTCTAGAAAACTGGAATGCCTAGAACTTTGAATGTTTCACTTAAACCCCACCGACACTGCAGAACTGGGCTGGGTCAGCCAGGATTAGGACCCAAGTCTGTGTTATTCCAGAGCCTGCCTGCTCTGACAGCTCCCGTGCTTCCTGGGGCAAGTCACAGACTTTTCTTCAGAAGGGTGGGGCCCAACTCTACACAGACACATGGCTGGATGGATGCACGTCCTCCCTGGGGACACTCCCAAAAGAGGGGCCATTTGAGCTGGGTCTTGAAGTATGAAAAGAAGATCTTCAGGGAGGGACAGGGCACTCTGTACAATGGTGGGGAAACATCTCTTTGGAAACCCTATATAGGGTCGCTATGAGTTGGAACCGACTCAGTGGCACTTAACAACTATAACAACATATATGTATATATGTTTACAGCCCTGATGGGGTAGTGGGTTGTGTGTCAGACTACCAAACATGAGATCAGCAATTCAAATCCATCAGCTGCTCCACAGGAGAAAGATGAGGCTTTATGCTCCTATAAAGATTTATAGTCTAGAAAACCCTAAACAGAGTCGCTATGAGTTGGAACTGACTCGACGGCACACAACCACTACCACCACCTAGTGTGGTACTATAGGATAAGCACTGGGCTGCTAACTGCAATGTCTGTGGTTGAAGTCCGCCAACTACTCCTTAGAAACCCTATACAGTGTCGCTAAGAGTCAGAACTGACTTGACAGCACTTAACAACAACACATACATGTGTGTGTATGTATTGTTGAGTGCCATCGAGTTGGTTCTGACTCATAGCAACCCTCTATAGGGTTCCCGAGGAGCAACTTGTGATTTTGAACTGACGACCTTGTGGCTCAAACCTTAGGATTCAGTACTTATCCTACAGCACCACACCAGGACTATCTGCAAATTTACAGATAGGGTGAAAACTGCACACACATTTATGTCCAAATCAGCACCCATGGTTACTTTCTTAAGGCAGCTCCATAATCTTCCCAGCTGGACACGCACACTCTCAGCTCTGAACCTGCAGACCCTTTATTTGGCCACTGGCTCACCTTCACAAAGCAGCATATGTATCTGTACACACACTGCCCAGTTCAGGCTGTGCCCAGCTCCACCCAAGCTCTGGAGCCACAGGGACATCAGTCAGACCCTTTTCCTGATCCCAGTGGGGAAGACTTGTGTGGACCACACAGCTCAATACATTGCATTATGTGCGGATAGAGTGTACTGGGCACAGGGACAGATGGCCTGACTCTGAGGAGTGGGGAAACCTAGAGGGCTTCACAGAAGAGGAGATAATGACAATGAAGATGCACAAAGACAGGAAAGGATGCCACACAGGTAGACCAGGTGTCCAAAGGGCTGATGTGGGTGCTGTTGGGGTCCAGGATAAGGTGTGTGCCAGGGCAGGGGAGGAGGACTAGGAGGTTAGCAGGGGTCACATGGACCTGGTCAGCAAGATCCCCCGTTGGATTCTCCACCCACACCGAGGTGGGGCTCAGCAAGACTATAAAATGAACAAATGGGTAGACAAATGAAGGGGACACTGGGCAGTGGTCACTGTCCCTCTGTAGACATCACAGAGGCCCCTGATGTCCCTGAGGTGTCTTGTGTTACTTGGCTTCTTATAGCCTCTGCTTTTCCTGAAAAGGCTGTCGCAAAGCAGGGAACCAAAGGAGCCAGTGTCCTTGGAACTAACTATTCCAGTTACTAGGGAGAGTAGCTCAACTCTAGCTGGATGATAGGGAAAGTGTTTTAACTGAAGGGTATAGGAGTAGTTCCTGCTTTGGGCAGTATGCCCTGCCTTTCTCTCTGTCTCCACTCTGCTTTCCTCTCCGCTGGCTCTTTCTCAAGCCTTGTGGTGGCCCCTGGAGCTCCAGGAATAGCCCCATGAGGACACAAGAGCCCTCTTTCCCCTAAAGTACCACACTGGAAGTTCCAGGCACAGCTTTCAATGGCCCAGTGGGGCACACATGCTCAGCCCTGAGTCAGGCACCTGGCCCACCCAGGGAATGAGGTCATGTGCCTGACCTGGATGGAGGGGTGGGTCAGCCTTGCCCACACTCAGGATTGAGATGGGCAGTGGTATTTAAAGAAGAATGAAGCTCTAAAGTCAGTAGAGGGAATTGTAGGCACACACACAGAAGCCCCACCCCACCACTGAAACACAGACCCCCTGTTTTCTTGTCAACACAAATGCATCTATATCATTAAATACTGAGAAAAAGCTAATCTATGTGTGACCTTTGCTCTCTCTCCTTCCCAGGGGCCGCTGGGTCTGGATGGAAAGCCTGTAAGTGATGCTGGTGGTTCTGGGATGGGCAGCTGATATAAGATTGGGAGAGACTGTGTGGTGCCAGAGGGAAGGAGACCTCAATACAGCACAGAGAAAAGTCACTGTGGTATCAAACCTGAGTTCAAATCCAGTTCTAGCACCAGCTGACCATAGGGCCAGGGATAGAGCTCTTAACCTCCCAACCCTGAGTCTTCTTGTCTGTCAACTGGGCCTTGCTCAGACGGATATTATGGGGTTTGTGAAGGACACCTGTACCAGAAACTTCTGGTCCATAAGCATCCTCAGTAGAATGACTAATATGCACAGGAAGGACTGAGCATGACTAAATAAATACCTGAATGTGGATAGATGAGTGAATGGATAGGTCAACAGACAGACAGATAGATAGATTAAAGAAAGGATGGATGGACCGATGGATAAAGAGATAGATGGATGGATGGATGGTTGAGTGGGGGGTTAGCTAGAAAGACAGATGGATGATCAAATGAGGCAAGGAATTAAGAATTGTACAGACAATTGGGTGCATGGAACAGAGAGTTAGTGGGTAGATAAATGCATGAAGAAATGGGTGAATTGACAAATTATTGAAGAATTGATTGATTGACATGTGAATGATTTAAAATGACAGAAAGAAAGGATTGACTATCTGGATAGATGAGTTGTTTAAGGATTGGATGAGTAAATCATCCATTTACTGGCTGAAGGGAAGATGGATGGAAAGTTTAGAAAGGATGGAAGCCAACAAGCAGGTCAGTCCCTGACTCAACATGTCAGCCCCAAACTGGCCTGAGCCAGTCTGCCTCCACCCTGGGGACTGAGCTACTTGCCCAGAAGCCCTGGTCACCTGGCAGGATTGAGAGGACATGTTTCCTAACATCATTGACTACAGCCACCATGGTCTACATGGAGCCACTCTACCTCCATAGATACGCACCAGACCCCAAGGGGCTGCTGCCCTGATGGAATATGGAGTGTCGAGACAGGATCTCAATCCACCTACTCATGGGTTCATGGGTGGCATGGAGCATAGGGGCTGCACCTCTCTGGGAGGAGTAACTAGCACGGGTGCTAACTGAGGAAACACCCTTCTTGCTAAGTGGATGCCAGCGGGCCCTTGCTGAGAGAGAATCCCTTGCCCCTGTATCTCTTGTGCTGAGGGACTGAGGTGTAGACCTGCCTTGGGGCCACAAGAGCTTCCAGACTTGTGTGTAACTTTCCAGTGGCCACACATAGCTCTGCTCAGCATCCCAGTCCTTTCTGCCCATCACACCTTAGGGAACTATAAGGGGAGCCAGTCTAGTCCTCCTTACTCACACCTGTGTTTTCTCCACCTTCCTTCTCCAGGGACTTCCAGGCCCCAAAGGGGAAAAGGTAAGTGATATTGGAACCTGTCCAGGTGGGTCAGCTAATGAAGAACATCAGCAACTGCTTTCAAATTTATGTTCTGTAGTGTAACCTTGGGCAAGGCACATTCTCTCTTAAAGCCTCAGTGTCCCCATCAGTTAAGTAGGGCTAGTTGTGCCAATTATTTTAAATGACTTCATTTGATAAGATAAAGTACCCAGGTGTGTTGAACCTGAGTTCTCCTGGCACCAGAGTGTAACAAAACCTAAAAGTCATAGAGGGCTGGAATAACAGGTTTCCCAAGTGATTGATCATGCACTGGGGATACCAGGAGGATGGACTACTGACTGCTAGTGGTATTCTTTGTGGGGAGGAAACCCCTCAGGGTAACAGATGACAGCTGCCATTAGGACCTTTGCAGACCCTGGTGACACTTGGCACTTAATGTCCTGAGCAGCCCTCTGGAAGACTTGGAAAGCTGATAGCTCTGGGAGGAAGCAGGAGAGAGGAAAGGTCTATGTGGCCCCCTTTGGCACCAGAGTTAAGAGTAGAGCTTGGTGCAGCAGGCCCAGCCAGACACCTCCAGACTGCAGCTAGGCCACCTCCACTCCCAGCATGGATTTAGAAATGGACCAATAAGAACTGTGGGCAGTGGGGCCCACTGAGATGTAGCCTGGGTAGAGAAGTCAGGCAGGCTGCCAGCACATCCTCTGGATGATGAAGCAGTGAGAATGGGACAGGATTTGGTGTCCAGAGTCATAAGTCTGCATTCCAACTCCACCAACAACCATGTGACTTCAGGCAATCGTCTCAGCTTCGTGGGCCTCAGTTTCCCCATTTGTAAATGAAAGTCCTAAGGAGGGAGCCATGAGGGGGTGATCTGAATATCCTTTGTAGAGGATGCCACTCGTGTGGGTGCTCATGTAATGATTCCTGCTGGTCCTAATGCCCCTGTGGTTGTAGAAAGGATGAAGGCAGGGGCTCTGAAAACAGAAATGGTATCTTGGTAACCATCCCTGCATAACACACTGTTCTGATGCTTCATGGCTTCAAACATCAATTACCATTCCCATTTCCCATTGTTCTGAGGTTCAGGGCTTCCAAGAAGACACAGTGGGAGCAGCTCATCTCTGCTCTACCATGTCTGGGACCTCGAATGGCTGGGGGCTGGCAATAGATAATAAAACACCTAGCTTCCCGTCCAGGATCTGCAGGCTATGTAACCTTGGGCAGGTAACTTAATCTCTCTGAGATTAAAAAATAGAGCTGGAGCCTGCCTATTTATTATTTTGGTTAGAAGAGAATGAGGTGGTGTGAGCGAGGTGTTGTCAGTCCTCCGTAAATGTCAATTACCATAGTGACGATGAATTTCTGTTTTATGTTCCTAGGGGGCACCAGGTGACTTCGGCCCCCGGGTAAGAACTGAGTGCAGCCCTTTTCACCCACCCCACCCCATATGGTGTGTTTTATGTTGTCCAGAGTCTTGGTGTGGCACTGTAGGATAAGCAGTGGACTGCAAAGTCAGTTTGAACTGCAAGGTCGGTAGTTCAAACTCACTAGCTATTCCTCGGAAACCCTGTGCATGGTCACTATGAGTCAGAACCAACACAACAGCACTTAACAACAACAATAAGACATGTTAGTGTTTTTTCCAAATCCTAGCTTCCAATAGCTTATCACAGAAACCCATGAGTGAGGCCACCCTGGCTTCCCACTGTCTGTCCTGCCTGTTTTCAGTTCACTGTGTGGATGCCCCAGTCTTCTCAGTCTGACTAGGCTGCACGCCTCGCACAGATGAAGGTTCTCTGACAGGATGTCCTGGTCACATTGATCACTGTGGACCATTGTCTGACCTTCCTGAGGTCAACTGACCCTGCAGGAAGAGTGAAGGATTTGGAGTCAGCAGGCCTGACCCCAAAGTTCAGCTCTGCCACTTACCAGTCGAGTGGTCCTGAGCAAGTCACTGGATCCCCTGAGACTCAGCTATTTCAACCATGAAAGGGAATGAGAGCCACTACCCCAAAGAGTTGTCATGAAAACTCACTGGAGCCATATGAGTGAAAAGTGTGGACCAAGTCTCCTCTCAGCCCACTGCTGCCCTGAATCTCAGCGCTGGAGCTCAGAAGTAACCTGGGCCGAGCTTGGGGTCTGCTCAGGGGAAGACTGGTGCACAGAGTGGAGGTCCCCAAATACAAAGGAGCTCCCAGGGTGGGCCAGGATACTGGGTCTTGTCACAGGGTCAATATTAAGTGGACATGACCATGTGGCCCACCTGGAGATCAGACTTGATTATGGAAGTTGAGAGGTGGGGTTCGACTTCAGAACAGCCATTGGAGTGACATTCTCCCAGTTCTTAGGAAGAATGTGAGTGGAAAATGTAACCCAGGGTGAAGATCTCTGAATGGTGGATCATGGGAATGGTATTGAGTGAGCTGCTTGGGTCCCTCTAGGCAACACTTGCCTGAAACACCATGAGCCCCAAAGGAGAACACTGTAAATGGTGGTGCAGAAAGTTTGGGCTGGGTATCTGCCCCACTCTGTGATCTAGGACAGACCTGTGCCTGTCTCTAGCCTGTGTTCTGTGGAATGAGGACGATTGAGCCTATATCACAGCGAGGCTATGAAGACACAGGTGTTCCATACTGGGCCTTGGGTTGCACAGTGGGCCAGGGCCACAGAAAGCTAAAGTCTCTGAAATCAAAGCAAAGGCACCTGGGCTGAGTTTTGTAGCTGCTGAGGAAAATGTTTGCCTGCTTTCTGCTGGACATATGGAAGTTCATCTCCCAAACAGGGATGCCCTCTGCCCAGTAGACCGGAAGTCTCCAGGCCCAGGTTTCATAGGGGAGCAGGCCCTCTCCCAAGCCCCTTTCCTTCTTCATTGATAGCCTCCTTATGACTTCAAAGTTCCACTTACCTGTGAAGCATCCTCCAAAAGTTTAGCAACTGAAATAATGATGTCTCATGATCTCCCTCGACCTTCTGGGCTGACTGGCATCTCTCATGTGGTTGCCAGAGACAGCACTTGGGGCTGGAGTCATATGAAGGTCAGCTTGCTGACATCCAGGATGACTGCCTCACCTAGCCAGCTGTTGGCTGGGGGCTCAGCTGAGGAAAACACAGGTGGCTCTGCATGGTGCTTGGGCGTCACCACTCATGGTGACTGGGCTGGGATCCTACAAGGAACATCCAAGAGTAACATTCCTTGAGGCAGAAACTGCCCGGTCAGAGTGAACACAGCATCATTTGTGCTCTATTCTGCCCATCAAATCAGTCCCGATTATGTGACTTTGCCTCCAGAAATAATCTGTGGCTTTGTAAATCACCCTCCTGCCTTTCTGAACACATAACCTGTTTGTCTGACCAGATGGTTTTCCCATGGCTCCATCCAGGATTTATAAGTAGAGACCATCACGCATACAATCTGCGCATCCTTAAGGTAGACTGTCTCGTGGAATGTCTGGCCTGCTGGTGTGCAGTGCTCCCCCACTCACCCCCACAGCTCCAGGGAAGACCTCAGCCAACCAGTCCCTGGGGGAGGAGGAGATGGCTGGCTGGCCTCATTTTCCACTTAAATCAAGGGAAGAGTTACCTTTTCTGGGACTTGCCTGTGTCTACAGCCATTTACTGACTTAGTAAGTAGAGTCCCAATTGTCCCCAACCTGAGGCCCCTGAACTGTGAAAGGAACAGTGAACTGGGGGGGAGGGACCTTCAACTGACACCAGATGCTCTATGAAATGAAGTGGAAATTATCCACCCCAACCCCACCCCAAAACAAACTGTCAGTTTTCCTTACTTTTTGGCTAGAGCTCTAGTTTTTAAATCAGGACCTTGGCCATTTCAGACTGCTCAGAAGGTCTGATGATCAACATTTAGAGCTTTAGTTGTTTTTTCAATTGGGAAAAGAGTTCATTAGTCTATTGATTCCTAGGCGCAGTTTGTGAGAGAGGGGAGCCCTTTCATGTCCTGAGCCACGATTAAGAGTGTGTTTAAAAGAAGCCATTTGGCTCTCCTTCCCTAACCCCATAAACCCTTGCTGTCAAGTTGATTCCAACTCATGGTGTTTTCTTGACTTTCAGGACTTTGTTCCAAAGCACCACTAAGTGGGGTCCAACCGCCAACCTTTAGGTTAGTGGTGAAGTGCTGTCCAGGAACTGATCCTTGCTCTGTGGCCCTGAGTAAATGATTATGCTTTCTGAGCCCCAGACACATTCACCATAAAATGGGACCTATAAAATGGCACTTTGGCTGTAAAATCCCACCCCACAGGTCATCTGGAAGGTTGAGTAAGAAAACCTTCAGGAAGCTTTCGCTCACCCAGGATGGCAAGGGCAGGGACTTGGCCCACAAAAGGCTTCTTCCTTTTGAGAAGGTGGGAGACTGTGGGCACTGCCTGGTGCTGGGCTGGTACTGCAGAGCAGCAGGGAGGGGTTACTCGTGCTGTGGTCATCCCTCCACGCAGTGAGAGCTCTGGTTGCCTGAGGTCTGACCTGGTACTAACCTGAGTCGGAAAGCTGGGGACTTGGGGCTGCATGACAGATTGTGTGAGCCTCCACTGCTTTTTTATTATTATTATTTTGTTTCCAGACAATTATTAATATTTATAAGCAATTGTAAGAAACAATGCCCAGGTACCTGCCATCTGGTTTTCCCCAGTAGTTAAAATCTTATATTACCATAATGCAACCTCACAACCAGGACATCGACATCGATACATCCACCATTCTTATTCTGATTTCTAGTTATTCGTGCCTTCGTGTGTATATATGTGTGTGTGTTCAGCTCTGTGCAGTTTCTAACCACGTATGTGGATTCGTGTAACTACCCCCACAAACAAATACAAAACAATTTCATCACAAAATTCCTCATACTCCCCTTTTATTGTTAAGTGCCATTGAATCAGTTCCGATTCACAGAGTCCCTGCATAGGGCTTCTGAGAAACAGCTGGTGGGTTTGAACTGCTGACCTTGTGGTTCAAAATCCAATGCTGATTGTACAGCGCCGTCTCCATCCCTTCCTACTCCCTAACCCATGCAACCACCAATATGTTCCCCATCTCTACAATTTGGTCATTCAAGAATATTGCATAAATGGCATAATAGAGTACATAACCTTTTGGGTTTGTACTTTCACTAAGCATAATTCCTTGGCATCCTGGTATGCCAAACATTAGACTGTTAACCACAAGGTAAGCAGTTCAGACCCACCAGGTGTTCTCAGTAACCTTGTACAGGGTCACTCTGAGTAGGAACATAGCACACAACACAATAATTCCCTTGAGCTCCATCCAAGTTGTCCTTTGTGTTCCTTTTCATTGCTCAGTAATTTTCCATAGTGCTGTTACACCACAGTGGTTTAACCATACACCTGTTGAAGGAAATCTGGGCTGTTGCCATCTTTTAGCTATTACAAATAAAGATGTTTGAATAAAACATTTGTGTGAATATAGGTTTTAATTCGGGGAAATAAATGTCTGAAAGGACAGGAGTTGACCAGCGATGGTGGTCTTTCTGGGAAGATTTTCTGGTTGGCTGCTCACATGTTCTGTCTCCCACATCCACCATGCGGCATGTGGACTTCGGGCACTAGTGAGCTGAGGTATTGGCACATTCCTTGAATGTAGGAAAGGTCCTGCTGGCCTCTCACACCAAGGCATTAGTGTGGCTGCCAAGATCTGGTAAAATGTAACATGACAAAGCCCCTTAAACTTGCCCCGAGGGCTGGGGGGAAGAGGACTGCTCATTTGAGGAAGCCCCCTCTCCTTATTCTCCTCAAAGCCAGACCAAGCCCCATGTCTTCCAGGGAGACCAAGGGCAAGATGGATCTGCTGGGCTCCCAGGACCTCCTGGGCCCCCTGGAGCCCGAGGCCCTCCTGGAGACACTGGGAAAGATGGCCCCAGGGGATCACAAGGCCCAGCGGTAAGAAGGGGCATGGAGTTGGACCACCAGGACCTGGTCCTGAACCTATAAAAACCCAACATCCTGGCCTAAAACCCAACCCCAACCCAAATCCCAAGTCAGAGCCCACCCTGACACCAGCTTCAATCCTAACCCTAATATTCACCACAACCAAAAGTCTCATCAAATCTGACACTAACCACCTCCCTAACCCTAACTGTAAATCCCAACTAAAACCTTGGCCCCAAACTCATTCCCAAATGCTGATCCATATCTTAATTCATACTATTTTCCAGACCCAACCCTGACTCCTACAGATTCTAACCCTGACTCTAAAGCCAACTCTAACCTAGTAGACCCTAACCTTGATCTTAGTTTCAATTTCAGTCCCAATATCCTGACCCAATCAGACATGGGTACTTTCTCTGTAGGTCTTTACCAGCCCCTATTCCTGTGTGTCTGAGTCTCACTTGCTCTCTGGGGTGCTCTCTCTCCTAATGTTAATTTGTTAGCAAGTTTTTTTCTCCCATATTCCTAATACAAATCCTGGAACTCAGACTACCTTTCCTAAACCACGGGGTCAGGGTGGTGTGGGGGGGTCAACCTGTACTTCCTACCCAATGCAAAGCTGACATTTCCACCAAATGGCCACCGGGGGGCTTATCTCTGGTAGCGGCTCAATTGGCTCATCCATTCCCCATGGAAATGCTGAGCCTCAACTTTCTCACTGTGAAATGGGGACCAAGTATATCTTCCTTGGGGGTGGGAGGGGGAGGTTGGGTGAGGAAGAAGTAGAGTCATGTACGTAGAACCCCAGCCCAGGGTCAGGCACACAATCTGGGCTAAATGGAGTGAAACCCCTGCATCCCGTCATTACTAATGTCTTATGTCTCCCCAGGGTCCCAAAGGAGAGTCTGGACAAGAAGGGGAGATGGTCAGTATCCAAGACATTTCAGAGGCCCAAGTTGGCACACCATGGTTCCCAGACACGGCAGTCCCTTGCCCACATATACCCTCCACATACTGGGTGGGCATGCCTGTGTACCCCTGCCCCCATTTCTGCTTCCTCACAAGTGGTGGAGAACTGGATGTGTAAGGTGTCAGCCCTGGCACATCAATCAGACCCACAGTCCTGGGGGAAAGTCTGCAAACCACTCTTCAGTGTTTGAAACTGAAGCAAAAGCTGCCCAACCCCAGGAGTCAGGCCTGGAGCTGGTAGCACAGCCCAGTTCCCATGATAGGCCTACTTCTACCTCCCTGGGACCTGGTTTCCCTCTTTATCAAATGAGGGTCGTAAAAAGACAAGCTCAGGAGCTGCCCTGAGTATGATGTCTCACACCTACTCTTCTCTTATTCCAGGGCCCAAAAGGAACCCCCGGACCCAAGGTGAGTATTCCACACTCCCACTGGCTACAGGGTTAGGGGATGGCGTTCCTGTCCCAGCTCTACTATTAACTATCACCTTCTGGCAGATTACTTCATCTCACTTGGCCTCAGTTTGCTCATCTGTTAAATGTGGCCGTTGTAAACCCTTCCCTGCCTTCACACAGGGCTGTGAAGAAGGGAAAATGAAACATATTAGCTTCTTTATTTTTAACTTTGTGGTAAAACATGTATAAAATAAAATTTGCCTTCTTAATTATTTTCAAGTGTACAATTGGTGGCATTATATACATTCACAATTTTGAACAACCGTCATCATTATATATTCCAAAACTTTTTTCATCACTTACTCCAAACAGAAACTCAATACCCCATAAGCAATAAGAACCCATTTTCCTGTGTTTCCCCCACCCCCAGGCCTTGGCAACTTCTAATAAATTTTAATTCCTAGGCATTTGCCTTTTTCTAGATAGTTCAAATAAGTGGGATCATATAGTAATTGTCCTTTTGTGTCTGGATTATTTCACTCAGGATAATGTTTTCAAAATATGTCAGCTTTTAAAGTCTTCTCCAGATGTTGGTGCTCTCCTTTCCTCCCTCCTTGAGCAGCGCCTGCTGGGGAGGGACAGGAGGCCACCATCCTCTGTGAAGGAGCCAGAGTCCCTGGAAGAGGGAAGGTGGGGAGTAAGCTACATTCTGCACATCTACCCCATGTGCACAGAATGGAGACTGGCCTTTCAATATGTTATCTCTGTATCTCTCACCCAGACCCATTGTATAGATAGGAAGTGACTTGCCATGGGTCAGTCCAACTTGGAAGTGGAACCCAAGACTCTGAGAAATGCAGGGGTCTCTGGGCTAGCATGGGTGTAGGGAGTCAGTGCCACTTTTCCCTGAGGGCTGGGATGCCCGGGGTTCAAGCCATGCTCCAGTGACTCTGACTTTTCTCCTGCGCCATTGTCTTCCCTCAGGGTGAGCCCGGCATTCCTGGAAAGAAGGTGAGGAGCCTGCGGAAGAGCTTCTTGCTGGAGTGGCAGGAAGTGGTTGGGGAAAAGGACAGATGCTGGGGAGGAAAAGCTCCCTTTTCCTCACCAACCCCAAGTGTACCCTGGGTGCACTTCAGGGTGGCTGCTCTGTCTTGTGGGAAAGGTGGGCCAGGAACACAATCATTCGTCTACTCGTTAATTCATCCTTTGCCATCTTCAAACACATTAAATGTGCTCCCACTTCAGGACTAGGAACAATGGTTTTCACAATGTTGGCTCCAGACCAGTAGCATCAGCTGCTGCAGTTCTAACAGGCAACTCCTGGAAGCCTGTTAGAATTGCAAATTTTCAGCCCACTCAGCTCTACTAAGTCAGAACCTCAGGGGCGGGCCCTCTAGGCAATTCTCATATTTGTTCAAGTTCAGGGACCACTGAACTGGAGTAAGCTTCCCGTCACCTTCCCTTGATCTCATCTTCTCCTCCTCACTCAGGTCCAACAAAGTTGTCCCCTCCTCAAGGAGACCTCAGGCCACTGACAGAGACAGGCCTGTCCCCAGTCCCTCTCTAGATCTCTTCCCCCGTACTTACTCTGCCTTCTGATACACAATGTGTACCTATCTGAATACAATATTTCTTCTCTGTTGGCCTCTGACCCGAATACGAATGACCGCCCCACCTGACCAGGGACTGGGCTGCCTGGCCCGCAGGAGGTGATCACAAAACACCTGAATGAATGAATCCATTCTCTTCTTCACCTGTCTGTTCATTCATTCTGCAAATACCTGGTGGGGACAAGGGACAGAAATGGCTCATATCCCACCTCTGCCCTAGAAGGGCAATGAAGAGAGGGGAGCAACCCCAGCCCAGTGTGTTAGGTGCTGGTACAAAAAGTGGGCTCATGTGCTGGGGAGCCCAGAAGAGAAAGAGACCAGCTGACCACCAGAGGATCTGGGAAGGTTCCCCCTACCCCCAGTAGGAAGCATTTGAGGTGAGAAGAGTGGGAGAAGCAGGCAGTACAGGCAGGAAGAACAGCATGTGTAAGGGTGCAGAGGCAGAGCACAACCCGGCCTGTTTGTAGAGAAGGAGCCTGTGAGGCCAGAGGAGTCTAAGGACCAGTCAGGAAGGACCCGAGCGCCACCTGGAGGCAGTGGGCAGGGAGGCCACAGCAGGTTTTTGAGGAGAAACACAGGGCCTTTGGCTGGAAAAGAATCTTTGTGCCCGGTAGGATTCCATCCCCCACCCTTTGCCTTCACCTGAGCCTTTCTGAAAACTGCTCTGGGAAGGCCTGTGCCAGGGGCATCCCAATCATGGGAATGTCCCAGGTCTTGGCCTAAGGTGCTTTGTCCACAGGGCAATGATGGAACACCAAGCCTGCCAGGGCCCCCTGGACCTCCAGGGCCCAAGGTAGGTGCATGCCCCTCCCCCATTGGTCCCCTGCCTCCCACCTTCCAGGGGTCTGGTCTGTATAATAAAGCCTCTCTCCTAGGTCCAGTGCAGGCACAGGGTACTCCTGGTGCCCAGAGCAGACTAGGGAGCGGGAGCAGGAGGTCCTACCTACTGGTTCACCAATAGTCTGGCTTCACATACAGACCACTCACTCCTCCCATGCCCTAGGTCCTCCTGGGTCCCAACTCACATGACTCTACTCTCTGCCCTGTCCCCAAGCTAAGAACTGGGGTGTCATCCTTACTCCTCCTTACCCCTGTCAGCAGTCACCAAACCCTGGCCAAAGTGCTTCCAAAATGAGCCCCTGGGCTGGTCCTACTCTGGGGCAAGTCCCAAACTGGAAGGTGGAGGCTGTGTCCTAAGTACCTTCACTGGGAGAGTCTGCAGACTCCTCCGCACTAGGAGACCCCCCACCCACATGCCCTATCTGATCCTTCTCCCATAAATGTCTCTGTTTCAGGGTGAGCCAGGGAGCATGGGACCCCAAGGAGAGAGCGGCGTGGACGGTGCCCCGGGCCCAAAGGTGATGTAGTGTGTGCTGCCTGCTTAGACTCTAAGTGGGGATTCAGGGTGAGTCCGGTCCCCTTGCACCCCTAGTCAGAGCTGGGGTGGCATTGAATCTGCTGCTTACTCAGCTTTAGGCAAGGGTGGAACCTCCTGTGCCTCAGTGTCTCCTCTCCATACATTGTGAATCAGAGGAGAGGGTCACTTAGGCCTCTCGCCCACTCCAGTTCCAGAAGTCCCCTTGCTTCATGTAAGTGAAGCCATTGGTTGGTTGGTTGGTTATGTGCCATGGAATCGGTTTGGACTCAGCAACCCTGTACAGGGTTTCCGAGGCTGTAAATCTTTACGGGAGCAGAAAGACTCATGTTTCTCCTGCAGAACAGCTGGTAGTTTCAAACTGCTGACCACCCGGTTCGCAGCCCGAGCTCCTTAGGGTTCCAATATGTGGCCCTTTGGGAAAGGGGTCTGGAGCAGAGTTTGCCTTCAACCAGGTATTCTGGTAGCTGCAACTGCACATGTTCTCCACAGGGGGACCCTGGCCTCCGAGGCACGGATGGAGCCGCAGGACACCGGGTAAGCAGCCTTCCACTGGGCCCCATAGATTCAGATGCCCCTGTCCCCACCAAGACCCCAGAGGAGGACAGGAGGAGGCAGCCCAGATTCTTTTTTTTAATTTTTTTTCTAATAATTCATGATTTTTGTGTCTAATTTTCATAGTACATGCATTTTATAAGACACTGAAGTAAAGATGTGTAAAAATCAAAAGTCCCAACCTCTCACTTCTTCACTCCCTCCCTGCTGTTGTTGTTAAGTGCCGTCAAGTCGGTTCCGACCCATAGTGACTCTGTATAGGGTTTCCGAGGAGCAGCTGGTGAGCTTGAACTGACAACCTTGCAGTTCAAACAGCTTTGCAGTCTGACGCATTAACCCACAGCGCCACACCAGGACTCCTTCTAGACTCTCTTTTGCATATTCAGACTCAGGTCCTTGGTTGGTCCTATATGGTATTTCCCTGCACCTGGTCTGGTGGCTGCCTGTTTTTTTGACCCCACACCAAGGTTCATCACTGTTGCCAAAAGGTCAGCTAACCACCAAGCTCTATCTATGACTGGCCCCAGATGGTCTTTGATCAATCCCTGTTAATGTACCTTTAAGGTCCCCGGGTGGCTCAGTTTGTTATCAACTACGTGATACTATAGGATAAGTACTAGACTGTTAACCTCAAGAATGGCCGTTCAAACCCACCAACTTCCCCTTGGAAACCCTATACAGGGTCTCTATGAGTTGGAACTGATTGGACAGTACTTAACAACAACAAATAATCTAGAGGTTAATAGTTTGACCCCACCCAGTAGAAGTTCAGAAGAAAGACCTGGTGATTTTTTTCCATGATGATTACAGCCAAGAAAACCAATGGACTTCTGTACTGTGTCACATGGGGCTCCTATGACCTAGAATCGATAGCTGCAGGTGTGGTTTTAGGTTCGTGTGTCTGAGATCCCCATTCCCAGCAATCAGTCAGGTACCTCAAGCAGTCAGGTACCCTCATGTTCCCAGAGCCTTTGTTTCCTCAAAAAAATGAAAAACAACTCTAAGTCCAGAGCCTGGTTGTGCAGACAGTTGGGAATCCATATAGGCCGTGAGTGTGGGAATTCCACACAAACTACACAACTCCATGAAGGCCAACAGGGACCAGGTGGGCAACGCTCAGGCCTGGGTCTCACCACCCTGTTCAAAGAGCATGAGCCAAAATGCTCACAGCCTCTCACTTCCCTCCTGACAAAGTGAGGTTCAGAGGAAAGGGCTGGGGACACAAACCTGCACCTGTGGCACCTGGTGGACACACACTGGAAACCCAGAAGGAACAGGATGTTAGTGTGCAGTTTGTGCCACCTTTCCCAGAGGTTGTAAATCCAGCTTGCACATGGTTTTCGTTAGGCCAACACAGTGTTTTCCACCACTCATCTGTCAGTTTGTTGTAGTGTGGTGGCTTGCGTGTTGCTATGATGCTGGAAGCTATGCCACCAGTATTTTGAATACCAGCAGGATCACCCATGGTGGACAGGCTTCAGCTGAGTTCCAGACTAAATCAGGCTAGGAAGAAGAGGCTGACTACTTCAGAATGTTTAGCCACTAAAAACCTGAAGTAGCAACAGAACATTGTCAGATATAGTACCAGAAGATGAACATTCTGAATAGCACCAGAATAATGTCAGCTATAGTGCCAGAAGATGAGCCCCTCAGGTTGGAAAGCACTCAAAATGTGACTAGGGAAGAGCTACCGCCTCAAAGTAGAGTTGACCATCATGACGCAAATGGAGTAAAGCTTTCGGGACCTTCATTTGCTGATTGGGCACAACTCAAAATAAGGAGATACAGCTGCAAATATCCATTAATAATGAGAACACAGAATGTACAAAGGGCACCATGGCAGCAGCAATGGGCCCAATTGAAACAATTGTGAGGATGGCACAGACCAGGCAGTGTTTCGTTCTGTTTGGCATAGGGTCACTATGAGTCAGAACAGACTTGATGGCACCTAACAACAACACAGTGTTTGGAAAGATTTTTGCCTACATTTTAAAATCTGAAGACCTTCACATAAAAAAATGACGACTTTGAGTTTCTCTTGAAACTCAGGCATCAGGCCTCAATGAGCTTGAATTCCCACATGAAGGTGAATCATGGCTAAGCCTCTAGACCAGGCAAGAAGCAGTGTCTTCCTCACTTGGCCCAACACCTGTCCAGTCCCTGGGGCCATTTTATCAGTGAGTCTTGGAGCAAGTACCAAGAAGGAATGTGAGAAGGGTCTTGAAGGAATGTCAGAGGGTCTTTCAGGCCCATCTGAGCTGGGTGCTGATTGTGGCCATACACAAATGCACAGGACTTTGGGGATCCCCGTTTGGCCTCCTCTGTGGGTGTGGAGATAGAAACAGGATACCCCCACCACACCAAAATAACTGTTTCCTGAAACTCTTGCTCTTCTTACCACAGGGCCCACCAGGCCTCAAGGGTGAACAAGGAGACACGGTGGTGATTGACTACGATGGAAGAATCTTGGATGCCCTTAAGGTAGAGTCCCTGGCGGTCTGGGATGTGTGGATTATTCATTTCCTTAGGGACTAATTACATCCTGCACTTCTGCACATAGCCGCTTAGCACAATGGCCCAATGTCCCCAGGTACCTGATAACAGTAGCAGCACTGGGAAGCAGGAAATCTTCACCTACAGGCAGCCAAGGGGCTAAGCCCCTAAACCATGACAGAGAAAGAAGCATTTCCTAGGGCCATCCCTGGTCTCCAGTCCCATGGGAGTCTCCCTGGGGCGTTCCTGGGCCTTACAGTGACTATTGGGATGTATGTAAAACCACCACACCTGCTCCAGGAGCCCAGAAGATGTGTGGTCTCTGATCCTGCCAAACTCAGGCCCTCTCCCCAGTGGAGACATTGGTGTCAGCTGCTCACAGTTCCCAGGGAAGAGAGTGGGGTGGGATGAAGACAGCTCTCAGAACAGACAGGGTATTTGCACGGGCTCCAGTTGTGCTTCAATCCCAGCCCTGTCCCCCAGGCCATGGGGGAGTAAAGTCAAGTGCCACTACAGCCCACCTAGGCCTGCATGGTGTAGCATAACCCCAAGTGTGTGCACAATGCCTAGTGTGTCTGGGCAGCTGAGAGCCACTGAGGAGGAGCTAGTGAGAAATGTCAGTGATGCGCACGCAGTGAGAAGCCAGCGTTGGTTCTTGAGCATGGGAGTAATACATTTTTTAATAGTATTGGTGGCAGACTAGCTGGTGTGAAAAGTTAACAACAGTAGACAAGGAGCTAGAAAGCTAGGTTCAGGAAAACCACCTGGAAGGTGAGAGCTGGAACTAGGCTTAGAGGAGGAGTGGACCGAGTGGAGGGAATACCGTGAAGCTACAGCTCTGTGGAAATGCCAGTGTGATGGAGGCAGGTTGGTGAGTGGAGAGTTCTGGAGCCTGCAGCTGGGGACAAGCAGAGGTGCAGCCTGAGGGAGGGGCGTGAGTTAGGAGGCTAAAGATAGAGAGATGCTGGGGTGGGTACTAAGTAGGGGATGATGAAGAACTTGCAGGAAGCTTGATCAGAGGGGAGCTTGGGAGTGGAGTCAGACCTCTGACAGCATCAGTGAGACAGGAACTCTGGGACCAAAGGAGTGGTCAGAAGCTCCCAGAGAGGCAGGTAGGCGAGTGGTGGGGATAAGATTTTGGGCGGGTCAGTAGTGGATTTTTGCTTCGAGAGGCAACAGGGAGCCATAGTAGATTCTTAAGCAGAGAAGTGCTTAAAAGAAATCTGTATTTGGGGCAGACTGGTTCTGTGGGCAGAGGGACTCTGGGTGGAGAGGTGAGCAGCAGTGATGGAAAGGCCCTGCTTCAGCACCAGACAGCTTGACTCTCCCACACAGGGTCCTCCCGGGCCACAGGGGCCGCCAGGGCCGCCAGGAATCCCTGGAGTCAAGGTCAGTGCATATGCAGTATGTGGGCCTTACACCATCTGTCTCCCATCCTCTTTCCTCCATGTCCCCTCCACTTCTCTCTCCTGGGGTCCTTGCTGGTTCTGGGGGGATCCAAGAAAGAGGTGCCTGCTCCTTCCCTACTAAGCTGGGTAGCTGGGCCCTGGCTTCTCCCTGGAAAGCCACATTCACATGTTTAAGCCATCACTCAGCCCCTCAGGACATCCCAGCAGCCCCATAGGTTGACATTACATGTTATTGGCCAATCCACTCATCCTCTGCCCTCTTCTCTCAGGAGAAAGAGCCCAACACTAGGATGTCAGGCAAGGTCTGCTCCTGGCATCTCATTCCTATGCTGAGAGCCTAGAGAGAGTCATTTAGTCCTCTGGCCTCAGTTCCCAAATCTGTGCTGCTGTAGGCTACACCTACCCAAAAGGCAGCTGGGAAAGGGATGGAGCTGGCATCAATCAGCACAGTGCACTGCCCCAGAGGCATTTTCCTGGAGGTTCAACTTCAGGGATGCAGCTTCTGCCCACACATCCAGCCCAGGGACACTTGGCCATGCCCCAAGCCACAAACCCCTCTGGAGCCATGGAGGTCACACTCCTCTTCCTGTCTGTTCCCTTCCAGGGAGAGCTTGGACTGCCCGGTGCCCCTGGAATCGACGGAGAGAAGGTCTCTGATCCTCTACTTCCAGGGTGGTGCTGATGCCTGGGGAGGGCAGTGCACGTGCTTTCGTGTGTGTGTGTGTGTGTGTGTGTGTGTGTGTGTGTGTGTGTGCATGTGTGTGGCCCCAATAGGAGAGAGGGCAGGGCAATGGGGTAACTTGGACTCTACAACCCTGTCTTCTGTGAGAGCCTTCTGGTCTTAGACACAATCCCTCTCTTGCAACCTCAGGCTTCTCCTCCAGAGGAGTACCCATGGGACTGTGAGAACTAAATAGCCTGAAACACTTAGCGTGGTACCTGGCACACATGAGCAAATACAAGAGGACAACAAAAAGTTCATGTGGAAATGCTATTTTCTTCATTTCATTTTTCCCTGAACTTTTTGAAGCCCTCTCATAGGCTACAAATGTTGGTAAACATATTGCTGTCCTTGTTATTATAATGATGCATGTGGGTGGAGTGCATGTGGGTGGAATCCTATCCAGAGTGTCTCCAAGTGTCACTTGACGTTGCTGGGTCCCCAGCACGCAGCATATGGTAAGTGTTAGAGAATTGGCTGGGTGAAGGGATGCAGTGCTGGTGGGAGTTAGGGGTGGGCTCCTGAGATCCTAAGACAGGAACACAGAGTGCCCCCACAATGGCTGCCCTGTACAGTGAGGCAGGGGTGGGGCACACAACCATCTTCATTCAGGTCCCTGGTGCATTCAGCCAAGGACCTAGTCCTCCAGGACTCCTAAGGAGGAAAAGAGGATCTGGCTGGCCTGGCTGAATGAGAAGAGAGAATGCCTGCTGAGCCCCACTGACCCCTTGTTCTTGTGGTTCTCAGGGTCCCAAAGGACCAAAAGGAGATTCTGGAGACCCTGGGCCTACCGGACCCAAAGGCGAAGCAGGCGAGATGGGCCTGTCGGGCCTCCCGGTATGTGCTGGGCTGACCACTGGTACTAAAGCTCCATTTACAGGTTGGGAAAAGCCCAAGGTAAATGTGTGCCCACCACAGGATAGCAGCCAAAGACTGTGAGGTGGAACAGGTTCATACTCCAACAGCCTCTCCTCTTCCAAGGGCGTTGGCCCTTTGATCAGAAGCTCTGGGCCCCTATCCAGCATTGTCTGATACCCTGGTAATTCAAGGCAGGCTGCTCCCACACCCTGAGCCTCTATTTCCTTATCTGTGAAAGACCCCACCAACTACCCATGGGACTGCGATAAAGGTGAAACAAGCTGCCAACCTGGTGACCAGGTCATCAGCCTGACTGCTCAGACCTAAACTGACGAAGCATGTGCCCAGCTCCATTCGGGCCAAGGAACCCAGGATAAGCGATCTAACCTCCTTGGAGCTTGGTTTCCTCATCTCTAAAACAGAAATGGCAATTTCTTACTCCCATGAATGAAGGCATGGACAGGGCCAAAAATGGGGGCTGGCACACAGTGACTATACACTCTCATGGTCACCATCATTTTTATTGTTGCTGTTGTTGTGGTCCACCACCCATCAGACAGCTTGTCACACTGTGGTGGCTTGTATGTTGCTGTGATGCTGGAAGCTATGCCACTGGTATTTCAAATACCAGCAGGGTCTTCCATGAGGGACAGGTTTCAATGGAGCTTCCAGACTAAGACAGACTAGGAAAACGACTATGGTGATCCACTTCTGAAAATTAGCCAATGAAATAAATCCCTGTGGATTACAGCAGAACATTGTCCAATAGAGTATGGAAGATTTGAACCCTAGGCTGGAAAACATTCAAAATACACAGTGGCCTTAACAATAGACTGAGCATACCAGTGAAGGCTCCATCGTGAAAATGGTGCAGGAACAGCACAGAGCTTCCACTGTTGTGACTGCATGGAGGCAGCTGCTGGGCGCCCGTCACTCATCCCCTCAGTGTGACTCAGAGTCGAGGCTCACCTTGCCTTGCCCAGGGCCACTCAGACATTGAAGTGGTACTTCCACAGCCCCTGGCTGCCCCCTGCACCATGGGAGACAAGTTATCAAGCTGCCAATGTGTTCCCTAAACGCTTACTATGCTCAGTGCCCACGGCATTCGCCCAGATTTTAGGCTGCAAAGGACAAAAGTAACACTGCTGCCTGCAATGAGAGAGCACAATCTAATGAGAGAACACAGGGAAGGTCACTGAGTAAATATGGACAGTGATTTTAGCTATGGACTCAAAGGGTCACAGGCCACTTTGTCCTGCAGGGCATCGATGGCCCCAAGGGAGAGAAGGGAGAGCCAGCATCTAACACCCTACAGGAGAGCCTGGTAAGAGGTTTGGGGATCAGGGTCTCCCCCAATGTCCTGACTTGGTTTCTGGGGCTCCTGAATGACCACACCTAGGGCAGTGAGGGATGGAGGGGTGAGGAAGCCTCAGGCAGTCCCTCCCCAGCCCCTATCTCCCCTGCTCAGCGTCCAGAGCACCTCTCCCATGTCTTAGGAGCTCAAAGGTTTGAGCAGTGACCTGGCCAATGGGTGACTAACCCATCTCTGACCCTTCCTAGGCCCAGATCATAGCAGAACCAGGACCCCCTGGACCCCCTGGGCCCCCGGGCCCCATGGTAAGGACTGTTGAGCTTAAAGCAATCGGGATATTAAGGGTGACAGACTGGGCCCAGAGCTGTTACCAAGGGGGTAGATAGGTCTCCTGGGGTGAGAAGTACAGAGGCTGGGTCTGGGCTTGGGAGACCCCAGAGGTCAGAACCATAGGACAGGAAGGGTGTGGGGGACCTAGACCCTTGGGCCAGTCTCTGGACCCAACCTAAGTGGCCCTCTGATCCCATCTCTCTTCCTCCTTTAGGGCCTTCAGGGAATCCAGGGCCCCAAGGTAAGCGCTGGACAGCCACACGCACACACACTGCAGTCCTAATAATGTCCGAAAGCCTTGCTAGTACAAAGTGAGGGACCGGACTTGCAGAATCTGGAGTATCACTTTCTGGAAGGCCGGCCCCACCCTACATGGTGGGCTCTGCTCTCTCTAGTTCTCACTCGGCCCCAGGGCTCAGCCCACTCCACCCCTTCCTTCTGTCTATGTCACCGCCCCCAGACCCTAGTCCTCCATCTCTCTCTGCACTTCGCACTTCCTTGTCATCACCCCACCCCACATCTGTCCCACAACTGCCCACAGTCTGAACATGAAGTCTCAGATCTGTTGTGTGGTCCATGATGCTTCATGCCCTGCTCTTAAATTAAACACCATAGTGCCCTGTTCTAGGGAGGCAGAAACAGAAAGGAGACCAGCTAGCCCCATTGCTGTTCACACTGACTTCCTGTCTATTCTTGGAGCAAACCCATCACTGCTGCACAGTAGCCCGGTGGGGACTCAGAGTCACAGATCCGAGTGACTTGTGCTGTTTCCACTCTGTCTTGTCCCCAGGTTACCTCTGTCATGTTCAGAGAGGCAATCGATTGGATGCTCAGTCCTGTCACTTGCTGGCTGTGTGCGTGGCCAGGCTTGGCCCTCCCCTCTCTAAGCCTCCCTTTCTTGCCTGTTGGGTGAATGTGACCCAGCCACCACCCACGATTACTGAGGGAGCAATGTTTGCGAAAGCTCTCTGCCAGGGCATACTGACTAGCCAGGATCAGGCCAGCATACCTCAGCTCCACCAGGCCCCAGCTCTCCTGTTCTGCTGTCTGTCCTTTCTCCCTAACTGATGTGCCCCCTTCACTTCCAGGGCTTAGATGGAACAAAGGGTGAGAAAGGTGCATTGGGTGAGAGAGGCCCTGCTGGCATGCCTGTAAGTGCAATGAGCCTTGTTTGTATGTAAAAAGCTAATTCTGTGATCTTCATACCCCTTGACCCACTCAATCCTTTTCCATCCAGGGTCCAGTCGGCCCACCCGGCCTCATTGGGCTGCCAGGAACCAAAGGAGAGAAGGTAGCCACCCTCATGGCTTGCCCACCCCACTCCCATTGTGGCCATATGTCCGTGGTATCCCTCAGCCCCTGCATCTCCCTGGTTTGCGCTCTGTGGATATCATGTCTGTCCTGCCCTTTGTTGATATCTGCACAGCCTGTAGGTCTCTCCTGCAGTTATGTCTGGAATCACCCACGGAGCTGAACTTCCCAATAGCTATTCTCCCAGCTACTCCTCCCCAGATCCCTTAAACCCAGTCTTTGTCTCTCCTCAGGGCAGACCCGGGGAACCAGGACTGGATGTAAGTATCTCACCATTTGCCATAATGGAGGCTCTCCTCTGAGCCTGTGTGTATGTAGCTCTTGCCCCCATGCTGCCCATGTAATAACCTGATCTGGCTGTGGCACCCCTTCCCAGGGCTGGCACTGCAAATGAATGATTCCTTTGTGTTCCCAGTGCCAAGTGCAGTGCACAACCCAGAGGAAATACTTATAGATGGATGGATGGATAAATGAATGGATGAAAGGAAGGAGAGAAGGAGGGAGAGGATGAAGAGAAGGAGGAAGAAAGAAGGGAAGGGAGGGATGATGCATGGATGGATAAATGAGTAGGTGAATAAATAGATAAGTGGATGGATGGATGGAAGGAGCATGAGAGAAAAAAGAGGAATGAAAAAATGGATGGGTGGATAGATAGATGATGAATGATGGATTGGAGCAAAAAGGTGGTATCCTGTGTCCTGGTGGTAAGCTGTATCCTGGTGAGAGATGATGAAGCTTCAGCTAAGGTAGTTTGGGAGAGGAGAGGAGAGGAATAACCCAATATTAATTAGATCAATTCTATTTTGGTTACAAGTGATAGAAAACACAGTTTAAACTCAGAACTGACTCCATGGCACATAACCACCACCACAAAATGACCCATAATTGAAAAATCTGGAGATGCAGCATGTGGTTCCTGGGCTCAACTGTGTCACCTGGAAGAAAAACTGGAAAAGCTCAGCATCATCAGCCATAACAAGGCCAGGGAAGACTGTGGAACAGACCATCAATTGCTCATATGCAAGTTCAGACTAAAGCTGAAGACAAAAAGAAAACTAGTTCACGAAAGCCAAACTTGACCTTGAATATATTCCACCTAAATTCATCTCAAGAACAGATTTAACACATTGAACACTAATGACCAAAGACAAGCATTGTGGGATGACAACAAGTTCATTATATATGAAGAAAGCAAAAGGTCATTAAAAAGACAAGAAAGAAAGCAAAGACCAAATGCATACCTGAACATGTGATGGCTAAAATGAATGGAAGAAATGACCAAGTAAAAGACTAAACAAAAAAGTTCAAAGGGCAGCTCAATGAGACAAAGTCAAGTATTATAGTGAAATGTGCAAAAATTTAGAGTTAGAAAGCCAAAAGGGAAGGGTATGTTCAGCATTTCTCAAGCTGAAAGAAATGAAGAAAAAATCCAGTCCTTAACTTGGAATACTGAATGATGCAGAAAGCATCAAAGGAAGATGGAAGGAATACACACAGTCACTATACCAAAAAGAACTGGTCAACATTCAACCATTTCAGAAGGTAGCATATGATCAAAATCCAATGGTATTGAAAGAAGAAGTACAATCCGCACTGAAGACAAACAGGGCTCTGAGAATTGATAGAATGCCAAGTGAAACATTTCACCAAACTGATGCAACACTAGAAGCAAACACTAGTCTGTGCTAATAAATTTGGAAGACAACTATATGAAATGGAAGAGATCTATATTTGTACCCATTCCAAAGAAAGGTGACCCTACAGATGCAGAAATTATTGAACAATACTGTTAGTATCACACACAAGTAAAATTTTGCTGAAGATTATTAAAAAATAATTGCAGCAGTACATCAGTAGGAAACTGTCAGAAATTCAAACTGTATTCAGACAAGAACATGGAGCGAGGGATGTCATTGCTGATGTCAGATGGATCTTGGCTGAAAGCAGAGAATACCAGAAAGATGTTTACCTGTGCTTCATTGACTACACAAAGGCTTTCAATTGTGTGGATCATGACAAGCTAGTGTGGAGAATGAGTATTCCAGAACACTTAATTGTGCTCATAAGGAACCTGTACATAGACCAAGAGGCGGTTGTTGAAACAGAGCAAGGGGAAAGTGCATGGTTTAAAGTTAGGAAAGGTGTGCACCAAACTACAGATGACATTGCGAAGAATGGAATTCCAGAACACTTCGTTGTGCTTATGCAGTACATAGCTCAGAACAAAACAAAGGGATATTTATTCAATCTGTGTGCTAAGCAAATAATCAGTGAAGCTCGACTATATGGAGAAGAACACTGGCATTAGGATTGAAGGAAGACTCATTAACAACCTGTGATGTGCAGATGATACAATCTTGCTTGCTGAAAGTGAAGAGGACTGAGGATACTTAGTGATGAAAATCAAAGAAAGCAGCTTTCAGTATTGACTATACCACAACGTAAAGAAAAGAAAAATCCTAATTAAAAAATACATAAGAATCCCTCACTACTGAAGCAATAAACAGCACCATGGTATAAGAACAGATTAAAGTTGTCAAGGATTTCATTTTACTTGGATCCACAGCCAGTGCTCACGGAAGCAGCAGTGAATAAGGAAGACTGGAGAAGAATCGGTACATTTGAGTTATGATGCTGGTGAAGAATATTGAAAGTACCATGAACTACCAGAAGAACAAACAAATCTGTCTTGGAGAAGTACCAAAATGCTTCTTAGAAGCAACAATAGCGAGACTTTATCTTATGTACTTTGGACATGTTGTCAGGAAGGACTTGTACCTGAAAAGGGACATCATGCTTGGTAAAGCATAGGGCCAACAAAACAGAGTAGCCCCCTCAGTGAGATAAACTGGCTCAGTGACTGCCAACAATGAGCTCAAAAATAACCACAATTGTAAGGATGCCGCAGGACTGGGCCGTGTTTCGCTCAGTTTTACATCGAGTCACTATGAATCAATAGAGCACCTAACAACAGCAACTTTATTATTCTAGAAAAAATTTTTACTGACTCTCACTGCTTTGGTCAATCCAGAGCCAGTGTGTGGGTGTGGGGGGGGGGGGGGGAGGTTGCTAATAGGAATACAGTGCCTTGATTGGCCAGGATTGGTCACCTGCTGGGGGTGGAGCCATTGGACTGTGAAAAGAGAGGGCAGAACCCAGGAAACTCATGTTGCTAGAGGGACCAATTGCAGGTGCAAGACTGCAACAACTGTGGTGCACTAGACTTTAAGGAGAAATGTTGCCTTGGAGAGCAACTGCATATAAGGAACCATAGCCTAGCTGTCTGACTGGGAGGACTGTGTTCCATTGGTGAGAAGGGACAAGGAACAAAAACCATGCTACTAATCCCGTTCAGTCTCTGGACCCAGCGAGTTAGTGGAGGTGGTGCAGGAGAAACTCCATGCCCAATGGATGTGACCATGGCTGCCTTCCAGGCCTGGAGCTCAGAATGGTGTCTCAAAGCCAAGCCCACCCATTCTACTTGGTCCACTCTCATTCTACTCCATTCACCTGGACAGACCAGCCCTGCCTCTAGGCATTCCATGGTTCCCTCTATCACTGAGCACTGGTCCTCTTGTCTGCACCCTACCAGCCTCATTTGACTGGTGGGTAGGGAGCAAGTCTGGTCCATTTCTCTGTCCCAAGTGTCCAGCCCACAAGCTGGTTCCTAGTGACTGCTTAGTACTGTTGGTTAGATGGCTGGACAGAGGATGAGTTATACAAAAGACAAAGCCAACGGTAAAGAACAGAGATCACCATTTTATGTCTGTAGCGTAGTGGTTAC